GGATGGAGGCGACTACTCTCTCTTTCTCTCTCTCTCTCACACACACACACACACACACACATACACACACACACACACACAACACACTAACTCACCGTTGACGGGCTCCAGCTGGCAACGGGCGATGGCGGGCGTAGCGGCGACGTGACATACAGCGGCGATGGGCGTTCCGAACGGGTCGCTGCATCTAACGACAACCGATGGCGGGGGATGGGTTCCGAAGTGCCAGTGGGGGTTGGCCAGCCGGAGGGCATTTTTTTTTATTTTTTTTTTACCACCTCCACTGTACCTCCGACCCTGTTTTTGCCTAACCTAAATTTCACTGCGCACCAAGGCTACCAGCCCGGCAGCCCGCCCCGGGAAGAGCCGAGGAAGGTCCCCACGGAAAAAAAAAAAAAAAAAAAAAAAAAACGATTTAAAAAACTGAAAAAAACTCACCCTATTTTCCCAAGGACCAAGGAAGGTCCTAGCAAAAAAAAAAAAAAAAAAAAAAAAAAAACCCGAAAAAAAACTATGTTATGCAGAAAAATAAACTGAGCAACTTTTGCCTCAGGGTCACATCGAAATTATTTACCAAATTCAAAATAAAAAATAAAGTTAAAAATATTGTTTATTTTTTTATTCTTTTATTTTTTAATTTCTTTTTGGCTCGGCCGGACAAGTGGCCCGGGGCCAAGTCCCACATACCCCGTTGAGCCAGTTCAACGTTGAACTAGCTCAACGTGTGTGACCCCGCGTGACGTCTGAGATGCATCAGGAGCTGCACATCCAGCGGTTGTTCTTAGGTGTATAAAATACAAAGACTTTCGTTTTTGTTTTTTAGTTCAAGAAAGGTGCTGAAAAATCCCTCCGCCCGAATACAACGCCCCCTACCCTGCCCATCTTCCGTTGAACTACATACCCCACTTGGAGTGGGGTATGGGTTCAACCGTGCTTGTGCCATCATGACCTCTGTGGGAGGATACTCTGACAGCCGTGGGAGGACACTCTGACATTCTGTGGGAGGACACTCTGACAGCCGTGGGAGGGCAGTCTGACAGAGTGTTCATGCTGTGTTTGGTTGTGCAGCCCCAAACTCGTTTCTGCGATGCACCAAGCCAAGAGTATTGTCTACATTCATTTCATGTTCTAGTGTCACTTAGTCCTTGTCTCCGACTTTGCGTAGTATGCGGAGCCTTTCACTGAGGATTGTTGTATTTTCCACTTTACTTTTGAGAAAATACGGACGATGTTTTCAGTAGCATTTGGTTTCGACCGGGAGCGCTGCGCCCCGCTCGAGCGCCGTCAGAGCGGACACGGCGCGACGCAAGAGCTAATGGAGGATCAGGCGATGCGGTCGTTGGAGCGGACACGGGGCGAAGAAGGAGCTAATGGAGGATCAGGCGACGCGGTGGGCAGATGGGGGCAGTGGGCGTAAGACTTGACAGCGGGAGGGTAGAGACGATGTGGCGTGACTTGGTGTGGCCTGCCTTTTGAAAGCACAGGGGTGCCATCTCCAGCTTCACGCTTTACCTAGTGATGTTGCAGGCCAGCACGCTGGATGAAGGGAAGACTGTCCTTGCATGGGGGCGAGTCTTCATGAGATTCTCGGCATATTGGTTGCCTTTGCTTCTCTGCCTGCGTGGTTTTGTGGAGGAGGGTCGGTTGATGCAGGCGGACAGGGAGGAGCGCGTCCTCACGTGGAGTGGGAGGAGGATTGGAGGCGATATCGAGTCCGTTTTTTTGAAGAAGGGTGAAGCGGTATCGGCGGCGGCTATGTTTTCGTCATGAGGGCATCCGGAGTGCGAGGGTACTGTCGTCGAATCTTTGTTTGTATTGATTGATTGCATCTTTAGTATGAGCTTGACTCTTCTTTGGATAGACCCTCTAACTGATCATTCGTGTAAGCTGGTAATTCTGATTGTTGAAAATCTCATTTTTGATTCTTACACATCTTTTATTTTTTACTGTATGAGCGATTGCCTTACTCAATTGATTGTCGATTCGTTTTTCTGATTTACTGTCCTTTCTGTTGATTTGTTGGCGGCTTAGTATTTCTTGTTTACTATCTGAGTGAATTTTTCCTATTGATTGTTGATTCGTTCTTACAATTTTCCTTCCTTAATTTTTCGTGCCATACAACTTTGCTAACGTTTCTCAAACCATGGTTTGGGATCCTGATTCGAAAATCCTTTATGGATATCTAACCCTAAATTTCGTACGATCTTTCGCAAATTTCGTCATTCCAATTTGGATAATCAATTCCTATCGGATTTTATCTTCAATCACAGTTTAATTCTGATTGATTTTTCAAGCAATCTTTTCAAATATTTTTTTTCCCAAACAATTAATCTTTGTATGTTTTGGTAAAGCAAAAGGCGGAGGGTTGAATTAGAGGAGGGTGGGAAGTGGGGGGTAGAAGGATCGGCGACGTAGAGTGGTAAGTCTAACTAGGAGGGTGGGGTGGGACGACATTGGCCGGTGCTGGAGCATTTGCTCTGTGACCAGGGGGGGCTTGAGGCCATTGAAGTTATGTCGAGGGTGGAAGGCATAACCATCTCGCCCGACGTAGTTGCTGCCGGGGCAGTGACCCTGTAACCTTTTGGAGGGGCTAAACAATTAAGAGAGGTGTCAAGGGGGGAAGACACTCTCTGTCCGTTTCAGTGCGTTCACTGCCGGCCACAGCGGGCGCACCCGACTTCCTCTGTTCCTCTCCCCCCAGTCCGTCGGGGAACAACTACACGTCTCGCTGCGTCCTCCTCGATACGCTGATTCACAATGACACGATCTCTCTTCGCAAGTGCTTGTGCCATCACTCTATCGGCCTCGTCGTCATCATGTGCGGGAAGTTCGCATTTCTATTCCGAAACACCAAGAACTCGAGGTCACTATCAAAGTGACCTGTTTCCGGTCTCATTGTCACAGTGTCAGCGCCCTCGTCGTCGTCGTCATTGAAGTCGTCATCTGACTCCACTTCCGAGCGCAGACCGAAATCCATGTCCTCATCCCGATCCTCCTCTTCTCCGTCCTCTCCATACTCTTCTTCTTCCACCGGCGCTTTACGCTTCGCATCAGTCGGACCTGCCAAAGACTTCTTCTCTTTACTTTTCTTCCCCTTCCCCCTCCAAACCAAATCCTCGCCATCATCGCTGCTGTCGCTAGCGCTGGAGTCGTCCACCCTCCCGACCTTCGGAATCCTCCCATGAGGAGCTTTCCTCAGACGATCCCTTCGACCCACCTCGTTCGCTGTTGGCTGCATGTCGTCGGGAAGAATATCAGGATCTGCAATTGGTGGCGGTGCATCAACACCGAAGAAATCAACCCACATGTCGATGAAGCCCCCCACCTTCCTCTTCTTCACCTTCAACAGCTGAAGTTCCAGTGCACATAAACAAGCTTGTTGATTGTGTCACTGGACAGCTGGTTTCTCCTCTTCTCATGGATGAGGTCCAGCGTCGACCAGTTGCACTCGCATGGTGTGGCCGTGCTCCACATCGCGGTCACACGATCAGCAATATGCTGCAGTTTCTCGTGACTCTTCCCATGGCAGCCCCACCAATCTGATGTCGTGCGCTTGTCGAGGTTGGAGTCAAACTTAGCGAAATCAGTCCAGAAACTGTCCTGCTTCTCAAGGGGCAGGCTCGAATTGCCCTGTGGCTCTTTGTGGAATGTCTTCAAGTCATCCCACAGGTCGAGATGCTCCTTGCAACCCCATGTTGCCCCGTCTTCGCGTTGTGACAGCAGAAAGCTCATGGCATTTTGCAAAAGCGGGGACTTGGGGTCGTTCATCCAGCGAGGGTCCCTCTTCGACGAATTGAAGAGGAAGTTTGCTGCATGCACCGGCTGGCGCATCATTTTGCAGCGCCTCCCCACCTTCTTCGCGATGGACTCCCGCCGCACAGGTGTCAAGTTGGGAATGGTGGCCATCTTCTTTATCAATGCCTCCTCAAAGCCCCACAGTGAATATGGGGCAGTGTCGCTCTTGTCCATCTTTCGCAAGAGATTATAGACTGGGGACATCACATCCACTGCTCCCTCCACCTCCCTCCACCAGTCATCAGAGCGGACACTCATGTAGACTGTGTCAGCAGTGGTGCGCTTCTTTCTCGAAGCCCTCTTCACGTCCAACCACCCTCCTACCATCATTGCCTTCAAAACCTTCTTCCTGTCTAACAGCCTCTCCAACATCATATACACCGAGGCGAAGCGCACCTCCGTGAGCATGATGAGTGTCCTAGTCCTTTGCATCTCCGAGCAGTCAAGGAAAAACTGCGCCGTCTTGTGATGATTCCGGATATACTTCACAATCGTTTTGCCCCTCTTGTAGAGGTCATACACCCATGGCTCTTCGCTGGTCCCCTTAAGAAGCAAGTTCAGGCAATGTGCAGCACAGGGAACCCACGGAATCCGTGAAATGCTTCGATCTGTTCGCCGCCTCAACAATCTGGCTGCGTGTTTGTTGACCTCCGCGTTGTCCGTGCACAAAGCGTTCACTCTGTGCACTCCAATCTCGCGGATCACGCCCTCCCACAATTTCGCCAATGCAATCGCTGTCTTCTTCCTCTTCGACATGTCGACAACCTTCATTAACACTGCTCCGGCCTCGCTAGCAGCAATGAAGTTCATGACGGGCCGGAACTTGCGATCCGTGCACCCATCTATGATGAGCGTGCACCCGGTGATATCCCACGTCTCCATGATCGGCCTCATCGCCTCTCGCGTCCACTCGTACGTGATGTCGAGGACCACCGTCGCCATCTACATTGGGCATCTTCACTCTCTGTTTCTTCTCTCCTAGCTCCAAGTACAGTTCATGCAGCTCCTGTGTCTTCTCCCCCATGATGTAGTTGAATGGAGCCCCATGCTCGTACAAGTGGAACCCCCAGGCGATGTCCAAGCGCTGCTGCGATGTGTTCTCAGTCCAACGTCTGATAGAAGCTTGCTTCAAGTCCGCGGACGGCCTTTGGGTCGCTGATTCGCTGTCGGACGGGTCTTCCGCTTTCTCACGCCTGACGTGTCCGTCATCCGTCACCATGCCCAGACCGTCCCGACTGTCGCGGATGGCCTCTCTACCGGGAGCAGTCGGAGGCAACATAAACTCTGCCAAATTGCCCGCGTCGACGTGCTCTAACACCGGTTGTGGATCTGCTCCGTCAGCAATGTTGTTTTCCAATCGGTAGAGCTGTATCATTCTTCGTGTGATGGGGCAATCGATCTTCGCCCCCTTGCTGGCGAGGATATGCAGGATCTCCCTGGTCCTCTGTTCACACGGTTCCCTTTTCGTCGTGAAACGCCCGACGACACGTGTGTAAGAAGAACTCCAGACCTTGCCACACAGCTTGCACTTGTGCCAATAGTTCGCATAACCTTTGGGCTCCGCCTCCTGTCCGCGCAGAACCCATCTATACGATAGTTTTATCTTCTCCAACTCCATCTGCTTCGAATCTGGTGCAGGGTCGAATGACGGTTTCTCATGGCTGACCTTGGCCTTGCCCTTGGCCTTCCTGCCGCCTTTGCCCTTGCCGCCGCCACCTGCCTCGCTGCTACTTGCATCCTTGCTGTTCGACGACCCATATGAGGAAGACATGTCGTCCAGGAAGAAGAAGAAGAAGAAGAAAAAGAAGAACAAGAACAAGAACAAGAACAAGAACAAGAACAAGAAGATGAAGAAGAACAAGAAAAAGAAGAAGAAGAAGAGGAGAAGGAGGCTGTAGAGCAGCGGAAACGGAGGTCATGGTGGAGGGAAACGATGGTGCAGGGAGGGGGG